GATCAAACAGACCAGTGTTCAGACCAGCCTCTATCACAAGTCACAGATCAAACAGACCAGTGTTCAGACCAGCCTCTATCACAAGTCACAGATCAAACAGACCAGTGTTCAGACCAGCCTCTCACAAGTCACAGATCAAACAGACCAGTGTTCAGACCACCCTCTATCACAAGTCACAGATCAAACAGACCAGTGTTCAGACCACCCTCTATCACAAGTCACAGATCTAGCAGACTAGTGTTCAGGACAGCCTCTTTCACAAGTCACAGATCAAACAGACTAGTGTTCAGACCAGCCTCTATCACAAGTCACAGATCAAACAGACCAGTGTTCAGACCAGCCTCTATCACAAGTCACAGATCAAACAGACTAGTGTTCAGACCAGCCTCTATCACAAGTCACAGATCAAACAGACTAGTGTTCAGAGCAGCCTCTATCACAAGTCACAGATGAAACAGACTAGTGTTCAGACCAGCCTCCATCACAAGTCAGAGATCAAACAGACTAGTGTTCAGATCAGCCTCTGTCACAAGTCACAGATCAAACAGACCAATGTTCAGACCAACCCTCTATCACAAGTCACAGATCAAACAGATCATTGTTCATACCAGCCTCTATCACAAGTCACAGATCAAACAGACCAGTGTTCAGAGTGGAGTCACAGATCAAACAGACCTGTTCAGGCCACAAGTCACAGATCAAACAGACCAGTGTTCAGACCAGCCTCTATCACAAGTCACAGATCAAACAGACTAGTGTTCAGGCCAGCCTCTTTCACAAGTCACAGATCAAACAGACCAGTGTTCAGAACACCGTCTTTCACAAAGTCACAGATCAAACAGACCAGTGTTCAGACAACCTTCTTTCACAAGTCACAGATCAAACAGACCAGTGTTCAGACAAGACTCTATCACAAGTCACAGATCAAACAGACCAGTGTTCAGACCAGCCTCTATCACAAGTCACAGATCAAACAGACCAGTGTTCAGGCCAGCCTCTGTCACAAGTCACAGATCAAACAGACCAGTGTTCAGACCAGCCTCTTTCACAAGTCACAGATCAAACAGACCAGTGTTCAGACCAGCCTCTGTCACAAGTCACAGATCAAACAGACTAGTGTTCAGACCAGCCTCTTTCACAAGTCACAGAACAAACAGACCAGTGTTCAGAGCAGCCTCTATCACAAGTCAGAGATCAAACAGACCAGTGTTCAGACCAGCCTCTATCACAAGTCACAGATCAAACAGACCAGTGTTCAGACCAGCCTCTATCACAAGTCACAGATCAAACAGACCAGTGTTCAGGCCACCCTCTGTCACAAGTTACAGATCAAACAGACCAGTGTTCAGACCTGCCTCTACCACAAGTCACAGATGAAGCAGACCAGTGATCAGACCACCCTCTGCCACAAGTCACAGATCTAACAGACCAGTGTATAGACCAGCCTCTATCACAAGTCACAGATCAAACAGACTAGTGTACGGACCAGCCTCTTTCACAAGTCACAGATCAAGCAGACCAGTGTTCAGACAACCCTCTGTCACAAATCACAGATCAAACAGACCAGTGTTCAGACAAGACTCTATCACAAGTCACAGATCAAACAGACCAGTGTTCAGACCAGCCTCTATCACAAGTCACAGATCAAACAGACCAGTGTTCAGGCCACCTTCTGTCACAAGTCACAGATCAAACAGACCAGTGTTCAGACCAGCTTCTATCACAAGTCACAGATCAAACACACCAGTGTTCAGACCAGCCTCTATCACAAGTCACAGATCAAACAGACCAGTGTTCAGACAACCCTCTGTCACAAGTCAGAGATCAAACAGACCAGTGTTCAGACAACCCTCTGTCACAAGTCACAGATCAAACAGATTAGTGTTCAGACAACCCTCTTTCACAAGTCACACATCAAACAGACCAGTGTTCAGACAACCCTCTATCACAACTCACAGATCAAACAGACCAGTGTTCAGACAACCCTCTGTCACAAGTCACAGATCAAACAGACCAGTGTTCAGACAACCCTCTGTCACAAGTCACAGATCAAACAGATTAGTGTTTCAACCCTCAACCCTCACAGATGAAACAAGTGTTCACAGATCACAAGTCACAAACAGACCAGTGTTCAGACCAGCCTCTATCACAAGTCACAGATCAAACAGACCAGTGTTCAGACCAGCCTCTATCACAAGTCACAGATCTAACAGACTAGTGCTCAGACAAACCTCTATCACAAGTCACAGATCAAACAGACCAGTGTTCACACCAGCCTCTATCACAAGTCACAGATCTAACAGACTAGTGTTCAGACCACCCTCTGTCACAGATCAAACAGACCAGTGTTCAGACCACCCTCTATCACAAGTCACAGATCAAACAGACTAGTGTTCAGACAAACCTCTATCACAAGTCGCAGATCTAGCAGACTAGTGTTCAGGACAGCCTGTTTCACAAGTCACAGATCAAACAGACCAGTGTTCAGACCAGCCTCTATCACAAGTCACAGATCAAACAGACCAGTGTTCAGACCAGCCTCTATCACAAGAGAGAGATGAAACAGACTAGTGTTTTAGACCAGCCTCTATCACAAGTCACAGAAGAAGCAGACCAGTGTTCAGACCAGCCTCTATCACAAGTCACAGATGAAACAGACTAGTGTTCAGACCAGCCTCTATCACAAGTCACAGATCAAACAGACTAGTGTTCAGACAAACCTCTATCACAAGTCACAGATCAAACAGACCAGTGTTCACACCAGCCTCTATCACAAGTCACAGATCTAACAGACTAGTGTTCAGACCACCCTCTGTCACAGATCAAACAGACCAGTGTTCAGACCACCCTCTATCACAAGTCACAGATCAAACAGACTAGTGTTCAGGACAGCCTCTTTCACAAGTCACAGATCAAACAGACCAGTGTTCAGACCAGCCTCTATCACAAGTCACAGATCAAACAGACCAGTGTTCAGACCAGCCTCTATCACAAGAGAGAGATCAAACAGACTAGTGTTTTAGACCAGCCTCTATCACAAGTCACAGAAGAAGCAGACCAGTGTTCAGACCAGCCTCTATCACAAGTCACAGATCAAACAGACCAGTGTTCAGACAACCCTCTATCACAAGTCACAGATCAAACAGACTAGTGTTCACACCAGCCTCTATCACAAGTCACAGATCAAACAGACCAATCTTCAGACCAGCCCCTATCACAAGTCACAGATCAAACAGACCAGTGTTCAGCCCACCCTTTATCGCAAGTCAGAGATCAAACAGACCAGTTTTCAGACCACCCAGTATCACAGTGACAGGATGAAGGTTGCCAAAACTCAAGACGACGTGGAGACGAGTGTTACAGGGCGGACGTCTCTCCAAAGTAGTCATTTAATGACTTCCACGTCAAAGGCAACGATTGGAAGTCATACCACAGCATCCTTGTGTTACCGTGACAAAAAGTCTTGTGAGTCCCCTTTAAACCAGGAAAATAGAACACAGACAAGTCTATAATGTTCACTTAATGAACGACAGATTCCTAATTCAGTACAATTGGAGCACAAATCTAAAATACTGGCTCACAAATCTAAAATATAAACTCGCCAAAGTCATGGCAATTCTGGTAAACAGATGCACGGATTGAAGATGGTTGACAGCTTTTAGAAGGTCAATGTAGACGAGTGGTAGGTCAGATCAATTTAGACGAGGTCTCGAGCGGTCTTGAAACGTTGATGTCAGCAGACAGACGAGCGTATATCCAATGTAGTAGTCCCCCCGTACATCACAACAACCACCGGTTATATACCTACCATACAGGTCTGGAGAAATCCAGCAAAATCTACACTTCGCGAAGCATAATGAAGGGCAGGTAACTCTAATTTACGAAACAGATGTTAGTTCAAATCACACTCAGTGCTTTAACTTTTTGTCACCCATAACAACCAAAAGCTAATTAGTGTGACATTTTGATTATCTAAAACACATCACCATAACACCTAGAATAAAATAACGTCGTAATTATGTGTATCTACGTACATTCGTCTGCAAGTACACTCACTTCGAGGATATTATAGGTGTAGGTAAATTATCAGGAGACCTAGGTTATCAGTGTTAATGGGTTAACATAAAAGTATAGCTGACAGAGAAGGCACATGTGGCTTCGATAATTGGTTTGTATAAATTCTTGATAGTGATGTTCCCATGGTGTGAATGTCTATCCAAACCGAGGCCGAGAACTCAGTTAGATTTATAATGTAGCGACTGAAGTGCCACGTACCGGTAGGTGTTATGGGGATGTCTTCATATTATTTTCATTTATTCTCGTCATTTAATAAAGTTCCGTTTGGTTGTTGTCTTACTGAAACGGACATCAGCTTGTTAAAATAGACCACTTATCTCAAGAAACAACAAATACTCATGTTAGGGAATTTCAGTGTTTCCACGTACCTGAACCCTTGAAGTAATTGTGATGATCACATGGCTATAGTTCTCATACACCTCCCCAACAAAAATGTCTGTCAATAAGGATGGACTGAAAATCAAATAAACATTTCCACTATCAAGCTGTAAATAAAAAAGTTCTAAGTCGACATCAGAGAAACCCCATTCCAAACAATGCTCTGCCTGGAGGGAGGTAGCCTGGCGGGGAACTAATGCACACCCCTGTCTGTCAACATAACGTTCAACTCCAGTAATACCAAAACAGACACATATACTTGCTTATAATGAGCATCTTTCTGAAAACCGAGTCCATTGTATGGTTCCCACTATACCATAAGCATGTGTTATGAATCACTATTTGACACTAGGTGTTCGCGAAAAGGAGACTGAATCCTGCCCAATCGGTGTCACCCTTCACACACGGTATATGTCTACTACAAATAGCTCTCGCCATTGTAATTACGAAAGTATCAAACAACCATATTCCCGATGCCTGTGCTATTAATACAGTGCGTACTCGATGTGCCACCTCAAAGTACAAAAAACACGACCGACAAGCCGCTACACCGCCAACTGTGTTCCGTGTGGGTACCGGGATGTGGGCGAGTGTGGGACACCAGGGGTGAGGTGTCTGTCTCTGTACAGCCCGAGGGGGATGTGGGCGAGTGTGGGACACCAGGGGTGAGGTGTCTGTCTCTGTACAGCCCGAGGGGGATGTGGGCGTGTGTGGGACACCAGGGGTGAAGTGTCTGTCTCTGTACAGCCCGAGGGGGATGTGGGCGTGTGTGGGACACCAGGGGTGAAGTGTCTGTCTCTGTACAGCCCGAGGGGGATGTGGGCGTGTGTGGGACACCAGGGGTGAAGTGTCTGTCTCTGTACAGCCCGAGGGGGATGTGGGCGTGTGTGGGACACCAGGGGTGAAGTGTCTGTCTCTGTACAGCCCGAGGGGGATGTGGGCGTGTGTGGGACACCAGGGGTGAAGTGTCTGTCTCTGTACAGCCCGAGGGGGATGTGGGCGTGTGTGGGACACCAGGGGTGAAGTGTCTGTCTCTGTACAGCCCGAGGGGATGTGGGCGTGTGTGGGACACCAGGGGTGAAGTGTCTGTCTCTGTACAGCCCGAGGGGGATGTGGGCGTGTGTGGGACACCAGGGGTGAAGTGTCTGTCTCTGTACAGCCCGAGGGGATGTGGGCGTGTGTGGGACACCAGGGGTGAAGTGTCTGTCTCTGTACAGCCCGAGGGGGATGTGGGCGTGTGTGGGACACCAGGGGTGAAGTGTCTGTCTCTGTACAGCCCGAGGGGGATGTGGGCGTGTGTGGGACACCAGGGGTGAAGTGTCTGTCTCTGTACAGCCCGAGGGGGATGTGGGCGTGTGTGGGACACCAGGGGTGAAGTGTCTGTCTCTGTACAGCCCGAGGGGGGATGTGGGCGTGTGTGGGACACCAGGGGTGAAGTGTCTGTCTCTGTACAGCCCGAGGGGGATGTGGGGTGTGTGGGACACCAGGGGTGAAGTGTCTGTCTCTGTACAGCCCGAGGGGGATGTGGGCGTGTGTGGGACACCAGGGGTGAAGTGTCTGTCTCTGTACAGCCCGAGGGGGATGTGGGCGTGTGTGGGACACCAGGGGTGAAGTGTCTGTCTCTGTACAGCCCGAGGGGGATGTGGGCGTGTGTGGGACACCAGGGGTGAAGTGTCTGTCTCTGTACAGCCCGAGGGGGATGTGGGCGTGGGACACCAGGGGTGAAGTGTCTGTCTCTGTACAGCCCGAGGGGATGTGGGCGTGTGTGGGACACCAGGGGTGAAGTGTCTGTCTCTGTACAGCCCAGGGGGATGTGGGCGTGTGTGGGACACCAGGGGTGAAGTGTCTGTCTCTGTACAGCCCGAGGGGGATGTGGGCGTGTGTGGGACACCAGGGGTGAAGTGTCTGTCTCTGTACAGCCCGAGGGGATGTGGGCGTGTGTGGGACACCAGGGGTGAAGTGTCTGTCTCTGTACAGCCCGAGGGGGATGTGGGCGTGTGTGGGACACCAGGGGTGAAGTGTCTGTCTCTGTACAGCCCGGGGGGGGGGGGGGGGGTCCAGAGAGAGAACATACAAACACACGATGTCGTCTAGCAATATGTGGATTGTGCATGAGTGGATATAAGACTATTGAAGGCAGACACACTGGAATTAGTTGTCAATTACCTGGCTGGGATCGAAACATAGATGAACTGATACAGTGACTTTCATGTCACTTTGTGTGGCCAGCTGTATTATTGTATTCGTGCGTGTTGAACCATACCATGCTGTTAGCTTAAGAACCATCGGGACTGTACAAATTATGGACAAGTAAACTAGTATTGCTGTAAGGAATCAAAAGACTTAAGAAAATGTTGCTGATGGATGGGTCCATTAACAGCATAGGCCCAAAAGGGAATTGATAGTGTACACTAAAATAACATGCACAGACAAGAATCAGTCTGTTTAAACGTCTCACCTATATTTTATTTGCCTATACGAACACGATTACGTCGAAGTTGCTGATGGTAGACTTGGCAGCCCACGAAGTACCACCACATGTCGCTGTCAAGACGCACTATGCTGACTCCATCCTGTTGGTCTTTTAATTACAACTGGCTTCGTTATTCATTTAAATACTAGATCACAACTTCATAGTCCCTGTAAAAACTGACCAAGGTATGTGAAACTATGGACCATAACATGAAGGGGAACCTTTTTGAAAAATCAAGCAATTCTGTTCTTGCCTGCTGTCATCCAAACTCCTGCAACACAAGCTTGTAGATGTTCGCGATGACCACCACTTAAATCATATAACCATTGCATAGAAGCATAATTTCTTCATTAAGGGTTTGATTGGAGATGTTGGCCACATCTGTCATATAACCAAGTGTTCTAACTGAGGATGATTTCTGACAAATCCACATACGAGTATATCCGGCTTCACACTAAAAACCAGGAGATATGTACATTCCGTTTTTGTACTGATTTCAAAAGCTTAATAAAATTCCGCAATAATGCACATTTATTGTTGCTTCCTGAAAATGTACCTCTAAATCACTGCTTTAAAGATGAATTGGTTTGTATTCTAGAAAGGTTTTGAAACAGGTGGAATTTATGCAACATGGGTTCTTAAGAAAACTCAGAGAGGATAACTTGAATGTTTGAAATCTAAGAAGTGAAGTAAGTTCAATTATCCAAATCGTTGATTTTGTCCACTGTGCACACCATGATTGCATAAAGTCCCAAAGAGAAACAGACATCCTGTATTCTTTAAGGCCTTCCAGTAATCATCTTTTCCTTATGTCACGCCGTATTCCAGTAATCATCTTTTCCTTATGTCACGCCGTATTCCAGTAATCATCTTTTCCTTATGTCACGCCGTATTCCAGTAATCATGTTTTCCTTATGTCACGCCGTATTCCAGTAATCATCTTTTCCTTATGTCACGCCGTATTCCAGTAATCATGTTTTCCTTATGTCACGCCGTATTCCAGTAATCATCTTTTCCTTATGTCACGCCGTATTCCAGTAATCATCTTTTCCTTATGTCACGCCGTATTCCAGTAATCATGTTTTCCTTATGTCACGCCGTATTCCAGTAATCATCTTTTCCTTATGTCACGCCGTATTCCAGTAATCATCTTTTCCTTATGTCACGCCGTATTCCAGTAATCATGTTTTCCTTATGTCACGCCATATTCCAGTAGTATTAGGTTGCAACATTTCTCAACTTCTAAGAGACATCGACCATTTTCCAAAATTGTGTCAGCAAAGTTATATCGAACATGCACTCACTAAAGCTCATATCAGGGTTATAGTTGACATCTGGAGTTCAGGTGAAAACCTTACTTTGCCTGCACCTGTGGCGGGTTCCATCTACCATCATCAGCTTAGTGATTTCGCCGACATATGAGCGATCATCATATTGCTAGAATCAACTTTCAACTTTCCCGTGATTATGTAAATAATTGTATCGCTGTAGTTTTGACACAAGATTGTAGCATACATTGATTACTACAATACATTGTACCCATGTAGGAATGAACTCGGTGCGATGAATATAACTTACGCAGTGAGGTTTAGGTATATTCAAGACACCAACAAACAATAAATTCTTGAAGTATAAGTATATTCAATTAATTCTGTTATTAGTAACCTATCTAGTGCAAAATGGTAAACCGATCATTATGATAAAACAGACATTCCTCAAATACTAAGATACTTCAATTACTGACATTCTTCAAATACTAAGATATTTTGAACAATTACTGACATTCTGCAAATACTAAGATACTTCAATTACTGGCACTCTGTAGCTATTGACATTTCTCAACTATTGATATTCTACAAAAGCGGATAGATTGTTAGCAATGGTCACAGCACTTGGTAAAACACGGTGCTGACCTAGTGTTGTAGATGGTATATTAATTGTGTAGTGTTTCTATATGATGATTAATCTGCTACAGCAATGTACAATGTTGAGTGAGATCAGTAACCGTAGTCTAGATGCTTCGTCTAGTATGAGTATAGCAAATACCTAGCTAACTTCATATCTCATATCCCACGAGACACGATGTATTCCAAAACTATACATTAGCACTGAAAACCGCATTATTGCTATCGGATCAAAAGAAGTAAATGTCTTTTATCTAAGATACTGGTTTCTTGTTACGCGTCTCGTTCTGGGGTACATTAGTCAATACGTCAAGACACGATTATCCTCTGACAAAGATTAACATTAGTCTTTCACACCAAAGAGACGGATGTTCGTGAGATGTAACCTGATATATATATAGGGTTACGTTTGTTCTTCAGAACGGTCGTTAAATGCTGTACCCTTGCCATTTGTCTGTCGAACTCAATAACAGTCGGAATGACAGATTGATATGAAGTTAGGTCAGGGGGAGCAGAGTGCCACATGCGATGAAAACACAGTGTTACTCCAAGGTTCAGAAACCAGTGGAAGCGCTGCAGGGGATCACAGGGCTGTCTGAAATACGTGACGAATGGTACTCTTTCTTCTTATCATCGTGATTTAATTTGGTTTGATAAACACAATATAAAATATATTGCATTTTTATTGTTGACTTGTAAGGTAAGAATAATGTCATGTTGGTGTCTAGAAATACATCTAAGTGTTTCGTTTATTGTGAAATGAATGTTCATAATGTAAACTGCATAATCCTTTTCAGTTACCAGGTTCACGTTGTGTTTCAGAAGATCCGTAGGTACAAGTACGATGATGATAATGAACATAGGAATTGTACTGGAGGCCGAAGGCTGCCACTAGTTCCACTACCGCTGTGAGAACGCCCGCCTGTGTGTGTTTGGCGTGCGGAAAGCAATACGTTCAGTGTCAAGGATGTCAAGTTTGCTTGTCATTTTCTGTGCTATAAATATTTACCTTGAACGTATAAAATACAGTACAACCAGAAATTTGACAATTTAAAGAGTGTAATTTTTTATATTTGTTTCACTCATTACTCACTTATTAAATGTGAATATTAGCAGAACATAACACCAGATTCAAAGACAGGTGAACAGTTAGTATTTTGTCAAGTCACCGTGGGCAGCAATGCAGGCTTCAATGCGGCGGGGCATACTACTGATCAAAGAAGTTAGAAAGTCGTGGTCCATGCTGTCCCAATATCGGACCACCTCTTCTTTCATTTCAGCAATATTTGTCAGATTTTTCTTATTGACACTTTCCTTCATAAGTCCCCAAACATTTTCTATTGGATTTTAGGTCAGGGCTATAGCTTGGCCAATTTAATAATGTCATATTTTGGGTCCGAAACCAGGCCTGTGAATGCTTTGAACGATGTTTTGGGTCGTTGTCCTACTGGAAAATCATAAAACATTCCATAGAACACGTGAGCAGATGGAAGTAAATGTCCCTCGAGAAGATCTGTGTACCGCTCACTGTTCATATTCCCTTCAAATACCCTGACACAGATATGCCACCCCACACGTTAAATTTCGGACTGTACTTTGGGTGCTGATACAAAGGATTTTAAGTTTGTTTGGTCCAGAATTTCAGTGTATTAGAAAATAGCCACACAGAATTTTCATCTGAGAAAATCACATTGTCCCAGTTAAAATTTCTATGCTGTAAGCACCAGTTCTACCTTCGCTCCTTTTGTTCAGGTTTCATGATCGGTGATGGAATTCCTCGACTTTTCTGCCAACCCTCTGCATGCAGCTCAGTTCTAATTGTCTCCTTACAGACAGCCACAGTTCCTCTATCAATCATATCCAGCCTTGAGTGTTCTAAACTTCTTCGTTTGTTTTTAGAAACAAGAATACCAAGCCGCCTCCTGTCACCGACAGTCAATTTTCTGGGCCTACCTGCGCCTCCCTGGTGCTCAATGCCATATCCATTTGCAATATTTTTCAAAACACGATAAACAGGTGACAAAGCTAAGGGATGCCTGTTCTACTTGAAATCACTTTAGCTGATCTGATGTCCTTGTTATGATACTCTAAAATCAACTTCCTCTTCTCTAAATCATCCATACTGAGGATCACTGAAAATGTCGTCTGCTAGCAAGTAAACAAAGGGGGATAACTCTTCACAAACTAATGAAAAAGGATTAACGGAGTTGTCTCTCTTGAATGAAACCAAGCACTTGATAGCTGGTCAAGGTTGTTGATACTAAAAATCCAATTAAACATATTCCTAAAATTCTCAATAATTTCTGGTCATACTATATTATTAAACTTGGCTGAAAGAAATAGCTGTATGGCAAATCATGAAATATGGTCTATGACGCCCCGAGTAGACTTTATGGGAATCTGGCTAAAAAAATCATGAAATAGTCTGTTGTGAGTGTGTGACATTAAGCCCACACTGGTTTTATTCTGAGTACCTTTTCAGAAATGATTCCTAAATTGACGAAAAATGGAGGTGAAAAAAAACCCTTTGACATTACCTATAACTTGCTGAATGACCTTTTGAATACTACTAGTTTGACCTAGGCTTCGCCACGTCATCCATTAACATGCACGTGCAAATTGTGAAAAACGACCAAACCAAAAGGCGTCTTCTTCTTTAATATGCCTGGAAAGATGCATTATTTTATTTCAGGAT